TATCCTCGGACCGATGACTGATGTGTTTTATTACGTTTATCATTGTTTTAGTGTTAAAAATCAAAAGTAGTGATATACGTGGTGCATTATAAGAAGATCTAAGTGATTTTGAAGGGCTGGTTGATGATCCTGAAGAAGTAGGTAGTGATATTGATGTAAATTATCAGCCAGATTCCTAGCTATGGTTAGGCTATGCATTCTTAGCCAAACGCTATGTACTGAAATCCGTTTTTCACTCATAACTTATTTATTTGATAACTTACCTCACTATATGATTATATATTTGTAATCCTCATTAAATTTAGAACAAAGTGGCTATTTTCAAATATTTATAGGCCTATAATTTATACAATTTCATTGAGCGCAAACTTATTTTTTTCAATTTTTCCAAAATAATTTTTTTTTTACCTAAAAATTTTTTTGAAACAAATATTCCTTATGTTTTATGTATGATATTGAAGCCCATGATTTTCCAAACAAAATGGTATATAGAACATTAGAATTAACATTGTTTTAAGCTTCTCAGATCCGTTTTAATAAAACCTTGCAAATGCGCCAAAAATAGGTGGACATTAAGACCTAAACTATGGACACTTGGAGGGTTAAAAAATGATAAAAGTACGAAACGTCTATAAGAAATGTATGGGGGAGAGTTTTCGTTTGAATATATCTTTAAAATGAAAACAAGATTTTTTCAAACGGATTTCGGCATTGAAATCAGCATGAAAATCTAGTTTTGTAAAATGATGTGTCACAACACTACCATTACATAAAAAAATATGTATATCCAATATGGCGGATCCAATATGGCGGCCACAAACGTGTTTCCTATCGAAATGAAGTACTAACCACCCAATAAATACTGGTGGTGATCTTAAGTCAATATCTCAAAAAATGTGCATAACAAAATGCATGTGGAATAATTTTTTTTATTTGTCCAATGTTGGGAAAAGCCGCCATTTTTAATCTTTAATCATGATTTTAAGGGGTTTACCATGGACCGATTTTTGGCAACTTCTAGTATGTCACTCAGCAGACCCAATACTACAAAAAAAACCATAAGACATTGTCTTGCAATTTTTTAAGATCATATCCTATATGTCTTTGACTATAGCCACTACATTAAGATACTGTATAGTATGGAGTATACGGGAGAACACAGAAACAACAATGCAATAGACGCAATAGACGCTGGCCATCAGCGATCCCGTCTGCCCCCGGAGCAGTGCCCCGCGTCAGACGCTAGAGACTCTCCCTTGGACAACGGGCCCATTGAAATCAATGCTTAGCAGTCAATGAGCGTCCATCGCTAGCGTCTATTACTCAGCGTCAGACGCAACAGACGCGTTCTTGGACAACGGGCCTTTAACCAGTAACAAAGCTTTTACATACCATAATTCATTACAGACTCATAACTTACCTCATTAATTTCTGTTCTAAATCATACACCATATAGTGTTGGTAGCACAATACAAACACGTTAAAACCATTTCATTTAACATAAAAAAACACACGCCTAAATAATGACTGTAGCCTTCTTGGGAATGTGATCACATCATGTACACCAATAGCATAATCTTAGCTAAGTTACAACTAGGCCTATTGTTCACACCTCTAAGTTTAACACATTCCTGACATTTCAATCTTCTTTCTTAGGCTAAACCCTCATAAATTATTACAATATAGTAGCCTATATAGGCTAGTATAGTACTAGATACTCATACATTTACAATTGACCAAGTGTTTGGCACTTTAACCCTAGAGTGGTGTCATGATTTTTATCACACATTTAGTGTCTTCGGTCTGTGAGACCATTATAGCCTAGATTTTTGTCTATATAACTATAATCATAAAAGATAAAACTTTGTAAAATTATTACTCCTATATATGTTTACTTGTTTAGGGGATTTATCTTGAAATAAAACCCCTCTAAGTGTTGGTAAAATATTTTTGAAAAAACGAATAGGCTAGGCAAACAACAGAAACTTTAGCAAACATTGCACTAAACTGCGTCTTCCCGCGGGTAATATAGAAAGGGGTCTATATTACCCTTTGATTTTCAGGTATCAAAAGTTCATAAAATAAAACTTTGTTTTAATAGGTACTGTTTTTAAATTACTAAAGCCTACACTGATATATATTATGAAAGTTTATGAACTAGTTTATGTAAACAAACATAAACCATCAGAATTCTGTCTATTTTTAAAGTTTGACAGAGACTTCAAAAAAATAATGCCTATTTTACCCATAGAGTAATGGCGATTTTGATTAGCCTACATCTACACCTTTCGTGTCTTCAAACTGTGAGACCGTTCTTGTATTTAATAAATATTTTATGTATATAACTATGTAAATACAAGATATATATATAAACTACCTGTAAGTAATTATTACAATAATTAGGCTACCTATATAATTTTAGCCTATATAAAAACATTATGTTATTGTACATAGTAAATATAACATTATATATAGGCCAATAAGTCAATAAGTCATTTATTTAACCAAAATAACAATTACATGCATTGGTCATGTCATTTAGCAAAACATACAGTTTCTTGACTTAAATAAGAAATAATAACTGTTCTTTTTTTTACACTAAAGATACCTATGATCAAACAAGTTTGATAGTTTATTTTAGCCGTCAGCCAGGAACTTACGGACGCTGTAATAAGCTTTTTTTAAAAGAAAAGATTTTAGGGTTTTTTTTAATTTCAGATGGTTTGATACTGCTTTGAGGTGAGAGGGAAGATGGTTGAACATTTTTATTGCATTATATCGGAGATGGTTTTGAAAGAAGGAAGTGTGGTGTCTAGGAACTGGGAGGGTATTTGTGGATCTCAAACTATAATGATGGTCTGTTGGAGTGTTAAACTTGCCAGTGTTTTGGAGCAGAAAGGATAATGTCTTGTAGATGTAGAGACATGGGAACGTTAATATTTCGTAAGATAGAAAAACTGGTTTACAAGTCTGACGTCTATTCATTGAAAAGATGGCTCTGATTGCCCTCTTTTGAAGGCGGAATAAAAATAGAGTTCTTTTGTTCTCACACCCCCAGATAGGCAAGGCGTACACGAGATGAGGGAAGATGAGACCGTAATAAGCAGAAAGAAGGACATCGGGCTTAGCTAGCTTTGCAAGGGTGCGGATGGCAAATATCCCTGAACTTACCCTATTGATGACGTATTGAATGTGGTCATGGAAATTAATCTTCTCATCTAAGATCATCCCAAGAAACGGTGTCTTCTCTATTGGGTGTACTGGAACTTCATCCAAGTGAAAACTAAAATACTTAGAAGATCGATCAGAGATATGAAAATTGAGAAGTTGAGTCTTTTGAGAGTTTATCGAAAGCAGATTGTTCTCAAACCACTGAACTAGCTTGTTGGCTTCAGAGAAGGTCAATTGCTCAAGAGTCTCTACATCAGGGCTGGACAAGGAAAGAGATGTATCGTCGGCATAAAGAATGGTCCTAGCTGATTCAACACCCATGGGAAGGTCGTTAATGAACAGGAGAAAAAGTGTAGGGCCTAAGATGGAGCCCTGGGGCACACCTCTCGAGACAGGGAGCTCAGGTGAATTGAATTTCCGCAGAAATCCATGCTCATCGACTGACGATACCCGTACACACTGCCTCCTGTCCCTCAGGTATGACCTGAACCATTCTAACGCCAAACCTCTTATTCCATAGTTATGTAATTTTTCTATTAGAAGGTCATGATTAACAGAGTCAAAAGCTCTACTCAAGTCAAAAAGCAGTCCCGTGGAACAGTTTCCTTTATCAAGAGAGCAGACTATGTCATCAATAAGGGCAAACATTGCACTCGTCGTAGATCTATCTTTCACAAATCCGTGTTGGTTTTCACATATTATATTATGTTGTTTTAAAAAATTTGTCAAACGAATTGAAACAACCTTTTCAAAAATCTTCGAGATAGCAGTCAAAATGGATATAGGCCGATAGTTATTGAGGTCTTTTTCATCACCCTTTTTATGTACTGGTCTGACTATTGAAAGTTTTAAGGCATCTGGAAAACAACCCGAGACAAAAGAGAAATTAATCAGGTGGCTAATTGGTCCAGCTAGTAGATCTGACATACTCTTTAAGATTCGTACTGAAATTTCATCTGAACCAGCAGAATTTTTGTTTTTTAGAGAGGCAATGACTTCTTTTACTTCTTCCTTTGATGTTGGATGGAGGAAGAGTGAGCCTTTAGGTCGTCCTACCAATGCCACACTTCTTTTCAATCCATTCTCTGAGTTATTAACATTGACTTTGACAAAATTATCATTGAATCTGGAGGCAATGTGCAAGGGATCGTAAGTCGGCTCACCGTTATCATCTCTGATACACATTTCTTTAAAATCATTCGATTTCTTTGGTCTTCTGCTATTGATGATTTGCCAGATTTCTTTCGCTTTGTTATCAGACGACTGAATTCTTTTAAATATCTCATTGGACCTCTCTTCTTTAATGACTGCACGGTATTTATATTTTAGTCGCTTATAATATTCCCGCATAAAGTGGGTGGACTCCAAGTCTTTTGTTTTCAAGTAGAGATCATTCAATTCAGTCTTAAGCTGTAAAGCTTGTGGACTAAGAGTTATCTTCTGTACTTTCCTCTGTTTAGTCTTTTTTATGGTCTTAGGAAAAGATAAGTCAAGATAGTATTTTAACTTGTCAATGAACGTGTTGTGTCAATAGGCCTAGTACTATTATTCATTTAAGGTGTCTTCGGTCTGTTGGACCAATCACACCCAGGTGTCTTCGGTGTAGGGGACCGAATTACACAATTGCAGACGAATCTGTAACCTCAAAATTACGCCCCCGCGTCTAGTGGTAGACTAGAGTCGAGGTAGGAAGGTAGCAGGAGACACAAGTCCTACACCCTAGAGGGGGGAGCAGGAACTTAAAACTATTACATCATCGGACTTACAAACCAAAGATACCAATCTAGGGTTAATACATTTGCCTATGTGTCAATTTGAGTAAAACTTACTTTAAGTCTTTTCTTTTGTGATGTAGACTTTTCACTGAAGCCAAGAAGTAAATAATTCAATGCTTGAGGAGCTTCAGGTTTTAGTAGATTTTCTTTCAACGTAGAAACTATCTGTAAAATTAAATAGGGCCTATAACAAACTTTCAACATAACTAATCATCAAAAGATTTATGTGATCTAGGCCTTATACAAGTTTTATGCCTAGAAAATTTCTCGGCCTACACACTCATTTGAATGAAAATATCGATCGATATATCGATTATTCGATAAATTATAGCCTATCCTTTGGTTAGTTAGGTAGGGTTAATCTAAGTAACTAACCAAACGATATATCGGAAGAAACAATCGAATAATCAATATTTACATTCGAATGAGTGTAACTTAGGACATAAAGTGCAGCCAATTTCCCTTGTCCCTTGCATTAGGGCCTAAAACATACCAATAGTGGACACCCTTTGGGCCATATTCTGAATTTATCAAGTTTTTAGCCAGTAAAATACCAATTGGTAGGACCAATGGTAACATTTATGCATACTATAGGAATTAAAGAGTAATATACACACTTATAATTAATGACTAACTTAATGTAATTATTAAGCATAATAACACACTTAAACTCAATAATTGTGAAAACGTCATTAGTGGACCCCAAAATACCAGTAGTGACCACACGTAAAACCTATAGGTAGTGGACACCCTATTATCAAAGAAAATATTTTTCTGACTGTTCAAAGTAGCCCCTTGGATGGGGCTTCTTTTAGAAATAACACATCTTTTAGAACATTCTAGGTGAGTTATGGAAAGTAATTATTGGTAGCATCAATGGGTTTACTTAGGCCTATTGATTCTCATCCTGAGAAGAAACTATCTGCAGCACTAGGAGGGAGATGTAGCCTAGGCCTATGTTAGGCTACATCGGTAGCCTAATGATAGTAGCCTTAAGATAGGCCTAGGGCCTAGTTTTAAGCTTATTCTTAGACAAAAAATATAGGCTAACAGACTAACTTAGCCTAGGCCTATTTTCTTACCTCATTGCCGTCCAAAGAATCAACATATTCGTTTAATTCTGTAGATTCGGGATTCTTAAGCTTCGTTTGGCCTAAGTCGTTAAGTCTTTTGAACATCTTACTTGAGCCGTAAACGAAATCGCGTAGGCCTAGGGTTTAGTTTAACGTACGGTTGAAGCAAAAGTTTGAACGTAATTAACCGTTCCTTGGCATAATTCATTAGCAATATTAACTACTTTGAGTTTTAAGTTGGTTGCTGTGAGGGCCTCTGCACAAAAAAGGGTAATTATATCGACCTCCGGACCTCACGCGAAATTAAAAATTTTTTTTTCCAAAATGTTCGAAATTTCACGCTGATTTCAAAAATGATTGTCGTTTTTTTCGGAAACGTCCCGTTTTCCCGGAAAATGGGAAAAACGGGAAAAATATTTTTTTGCTCAAAACCCATGTTGTGGGTACTCAAATTGTGCGGAATTTCCTCCTGAACAAGAATATGTAAATTTTATTACGATCGGACCACTATTAAGTAAAATATCACCGAAAAACGGGAGAACGGGGAAATTTTTCTTTGCTCAAAACCCATGTTGTAGGTACTCCTGAACAAGAATATGTAGTTTTTATTACTATCGCTTTTAAGTAAAAAATCACCGGACAGGTTACCTAACCTAACATAACCTAACTTAGGTTTGGATTAGGTTAGGTTAGGTTAGGTTAGGATAGGTTAGGTTAAGTTAGGTTAGGTTAGGTTGGTTTAGGTTAGGTTGAGTTTCGTTAGGTTAGGTTAGGTTAAGTTTGGTTAGGTTAGGTTGGTTTAGGTTAGGTTGAGTTTCGTTAGGTTAGGTTAGGTTAAGTTAGGTTAGGTTGGTTTAGGTTAGTTTGAGTTTCGTTAGGTTAGGTTAGGTTAGGTTAGGTTAGGTTAGGTTAGTTTAGGTTAGGTTAAGTTAGTTTAGGTTAGGTTAGGTTAAGTTTGGTTAGGTTAATTTGGTTAGGTTAGGTTAGTTTAGATTAGTTTACTAACAATACTCATGTTATTGATAAACTAACCCAACCTAACCTAACTTAGGAACTTAGGTTAGGTTAGGATAGGTTAGTTTAGGTTAAGTTAGTTTAGGTTAGGTTAGTTTAGGTTAAGTTTGGTTAGGTTAGGTTAGTTTAGGTTAGTTTACTTACAATACTCATGTTATTAATAAACTTACCTAACCTAACCTAAGTTCCTAAGTTAGGTTAGGTTAAGTTAGGTTAGGTACACTAAACCAACCTAACCTAACCAAACTTAACCTAACCTAACGAAACTCAACCTAACCTAAACCAACTTAACTTAACCTAACCTAACTTAACCTAACCTAACCTAAACTAACTTAACCTAACCTAAACTAACCTAACCTAACCTAACCTAACATAACTTAACCTAACCTAACCAAACTTAACCTAACCTAACCTAAACTAACCTATCCTAACCTAACCTAACCTAACCTAACCTAATCCAAACCTAAGTTAGGTTATGTTAGATTAGGTAACCTGTCCGGTGATGTTTTACTTAAAAGCGATAGTAATAAAAACTACATATTCTTGTTCAGGAGTACCTACAACATGGGTTTTGAGCAAAGAAAAATTTCCCCGTTTTTCCGTTTTTCGGTGATATTTTACTTAATAGTGGTCCGATCGTAATGAAATTTACATATTCTTGTTCAGGAGGAAATTCCGCACAATTTGAGTACCCACAACATGGGTTTTGAGCAAAAAAATATTTTTCCCGTTTTTCCCACTTTCCGGGAAAACGGGACGTTTCCGAAAAAAACGACAATCATTTTTGAAATCAACGTGAAATTTCGAACATTTTGGAAAAAAAAAATTTAATTTTGCGTGAGGTCCGGAGGTCGATATAATTACCCAAAAAAGTATAACATTTCTACTTTGAGTTTTATGTTGGTTGCTGTGAGGGCCTCTGCACAAAAAAGTATAACATTTCACAAGGTTTAGTACATAACATACCATAAAACATATTTTGTCCAAACAAAAGTTTCAACTTCAAGCAAGGCACTTTTAACGTTTTAACTGCAACACTGCAACAAACAACGAGTAGAAACGACGAAGAAAATAGAAGAAGAGAAGAAAAGAGAAGAGAATTGACGTTGACGAATTGACAGAGTGCGGTCGTTTTGCCGCCTTTCTATATTTTTTTTGGAACTACATTCCAGAGAGTATCGAAATAGTACGAATATGACATCTATATAGTTAAAGAAGACAATAACTAATAACTTTCGATAGATTAAAAAGTAAATTACAGAGAGACTAAGACAGAAAAATTGTATTCAAAATCTTAGATATTTGGAAGGCGTTAATACAGTACTGTGCAAGAGGATGGAACGCCAAATACAATGAAAATTCTGCCAATCCATAAATTCTTTTGGTAAATTACTAAATTACGGCCATAGACGATTAAACCTTATAAATGCTGTAAGGCTATGTAGAATAACGTCTAGTCCAGATCACAACTGTATTGTTTTGCCGCCGTTCTTTAAGAAAAGTGTTTCCCTGTTTTCCTAGATTTCATGTTTACATTTGCCATGTTTGGAACTCGCAATGTTTGACAGATAACCATAATGAGATAACTAATAGTGATGTTGCTTTAGGTCTTAGCAAAAATGCACTAGATTATTGTGATGTTGTGTTGATGAAATAGTTGAACCGTATTTGATTTAACATTTCTATGGGATACACAGACGTTTAAGGTAAACTTTATACTAGCATCTCAGGTTCCCCACCCGCAAACTGATGAGAATTTTTTCTGCGAAAGAGTGGGGGATTGTGGGAGGTCCGTGAAGTTAGCCCCCCCCCCCATAAAAGCACTAACAATTAAACTAGTATTAATGGTTAGTGCTTCGTTAGTGCTGGGTAGTGCTTCAACTCCCATCGTTATAGTGCTCTTACGGTTCAGAAGCTATAACCGAAAAACTGTGGGTGGGGCCAACTTCACGGAAGTTAGCCCCCCCCCCAGTAGTAATATGTGAGCACTAACTTTCAAAACTGTACCAACGGTTAGTGCTTCGTTAGTGCTGGTTAGTGCTTCAACTTCCATCGTTAGTGCTCTTACGGTTCAGGAGCTATAACAAAAAAAACTGTGGGTGGGGCCAACTTCACGGAAGTTAGCCCCCCCCAGTAGTAATATGTGAGCACTAACTTTCAAAACTGTACCAACGGTTAGTGCTTCAACTCCCATCGTTAGTGCTCTTACGGTTCAGGAGCTATAACCAAAAAACTGTGGGTGGGGCCAACTTAAGGGGAAGTTAGCCAACCCCAGGAAAAATATATAGTACTAACTTTCAAAATGGTATCAATGTCTAGTGCTGGTACTGAATGTCCAGGAGTTGTAATGAATCTCTAGTTCGGAGGCCATATTCACGAGGCGATTCAAAGACAGCTCCACCAAATTGTATCAACTAGGCTCCCCACATTTTTTAATGCTTGAAATGAAAGGTAAATTCCGTAAAGAAGTTATCCTATCACATGTAACATATAAAAAACCTTTTTACAATTGAGCATAGTGCAATTGTAGTTTTAAAATTTTAATCTTCATATTTCATTGACTTAATTATTATCAATCTATTTATAAAAAATATAATATAGTCCATATTTATTTAAAAACAGCTTGTTCAAAGCTAACAAAAATACAAAATGAAAAACTATATTGTTTTTAAATAGCTAGTACTGTATATTATTAAGTCAATGAAAGATGAAGATTAATACTATATTGTCTCATTTAAACTCGTAAAAACTGTTTTTTGATAGGCTACATGTACTAAATGCCTTATTTCATTACAACTCCAGGAGCATTCACTAACGAGCGCTGACCATTTACACTATTTTGAAAGTTAGTGCTCACATATTACTACTGGTTAGGGAAGACTAACTTCCGCAAAGTTGACAACTCAACAGTTTTTCTAGTTACAGCTCCTGAACCGTAAGAGCACTGACGATGGGAGTTGAAGCACTAACCAGCACTAACGAAGCACTAACCGTTGGTACAGTTTTGAAAGTTAGTGCTCACATATTACTACTGGGGGGGAGGGGCTAACTTCCGTGAAGTTGGCCCCACCCACAGTTTTTTGGTTATAGCTCCTGAACCGTTAAGAGCACTAACGATGGGAGTTCAAGCACTAACCAGCACTAACCGTTGGTACAGTTTTGAAAGTTAGTGCTCACATATTACTACTGGGGGGGGGAGGGGCTAACTTCCGTGAAGTTGGCCCCACCCACAGTTTTTCGGTTATAGCTCATGAACCTTAAGAGCACTAACGATGGGAGTTGAAGCACTAACCAGCACTAACGAAGCACTAACCATTAATACTAGTTTAAGTGTTAGTGCTTTTATGGGGGGGGGGGCTAACTTCACGGACCTGATTGTGGGAGAGCCCCTCACGTCGATTAGGGAAAATTTTGAAATTTATTTTATAATATTTTAGTTAGAAAATTAAACTTTTTAACTATAAAATTAATTTTAAAATATTTAATTATAAAATTTAACTGTCATAACCTAACCTAACCAACCAAACTTGATGATAATATAAAAAAGATATAAAATAAAAATCTAATGAAGGATTACTTATAATTAATTTTTAATTATAAAATTAATTTTAAAATATTTAATAATAGAATTAAACTGTCATAACCTAACCTAACCAACCAAACTTGCTGATAATATAAAACCAATATAAAATGAAAATCTAATAAAGGTTTACTTATGATTAATTTTTAATTTTAAAATTAATTTTAAAATTTGTTATTATAAAAAATAAAATTATAAATGCCTCAAATTCTAAAAAAAAAATGTACAGTTAAGAAGTATACGCAATCTAAGCAAAACCTTGGACAAAAAGTTAGTGTCACCGGCGGGATTCGAACTGGGGACCTCCAGATTACGAGTCCGAGACGCTATCAACTACGCCACCAACCCCAATGGAGTTTACTTTGATCGGACTCTCGGGCTCCGCCCCAGTGGCTCTGGAGTTTCCCATGTTAACCTTATGAGTACTCATATTTAAATGGAATTGATTAATCTTAACAGCTGTTTCAATTAAACAAGTTGGTTCTGTTCTATGATGTTCAATAGCATTAAAGTTACAAGGATTACCAACAGGGTGCAGCACTATTATTTTTTTAAATTTATGACAACAGCTAATTTGCAACCAAAAGGTGAGTGAGCGTAGCGAACGAACTTGAATCTGGAGGCGAGTTAGCGTAGCGAACGAGCTAACCTGAAGGCAAGTGAGCGCAG